TTTTCATTTACAGATTCTAGTTACTTCTCCTTTCAATTTTTACGTAGTGTACTTTTAGTTGCTACAATGCTAGTGAGCCCAACCAAGGCGCTGCCCTGCTCTGCCCTGCCCCTACAAATTGGTGGTCTTGCATCTGCTCAAACACCATTTTGCTTAACTTAAACTACCAGGTCATCATTTAGATCTCCAAAATGAGGGGAAAAGAAAACCCCCTAGCGAAGTCCAAAATAATTTCAAAACTTTTCCACTAAATTGTAAAAAGATTCCTCACATACAAACACCAACCTAAAAGAAAATTACACACCACAGCACAACCTTGATTAACATTAATAAATCTGTAAATCCGATGCCGTAAATTTTGTGAGTAGAAGAATTGGAAGTTGTGGAGTTCAGAGATGGGGCCGTCATGTTCACCATGGTGCCATTCATGCCAAGGCTGAATGCAAAACGTCAATAACAATAACATGAGTTTTTGGTGTTTAAAGTTTGTAAAAGATGATAAGTTTTTAAGGAATCTTAAGTCTTTACCTTCCTGTAAAAATGCAAGAACCATGACCTGCAGCACAAGCAAAATAATCATTATACCAAATTCATGATTATAGCCAACCATGCCCGTCATGGCAATACATATACTCACGTATGACTCTATAACAGAAGCTAAGGAAACAGAACCAAAAAATAAAGAGGAGAATCTGATGATCTTACTTGGATCAGTGGTTGTGATTGAGGCAACCCCATTGAAATTACACGCATTGGAAGCCTTCCCCATTTGATGATAGTAAGTGTCAAAAGCATAAGTTGCATGAGCAATCACATTGTCTGGCTCATAACATTGTTTCCCCTGCAACAATGCTGAGCAATCAACCTTCCCAGGTCCACAAGCCCAATCTAAAGCAGCCTGCAGCATCTTTGGATCAGCACCATCCTTAGCAGTACAGTAAGTTTGGTTAGTGGTATCGTTTGCTAGCACCAAACCTGACCCTGCCAAGCGTAATATGTAAACAGGGTCGCCATTGGCACCAAACAATCCCCAATTCTTCTCTGAGATTGGCCCAGGTTTCGTGTCCTCATTATAGAGCTCATAAATGTAAGTACTGACAGCAATCCCAGGGCGTTTAGGAGTTCCAGTTTGGTTTAGCACACGACGAATCAGATTGCTGTTGTAAGTGTTGGCGTTTTCTAAAGTTGCATCCGGCTCATTGGCATCACCTTTTGATGGCCACCCAGTTTCAGTCACTATAACAGGAATATTGGTGAAGTTTAGGAAAGTCATGGCAAAGTAGGCTGCATCAACCATAGCATCAAAGACATTGGTGTAATGGACTAGTGTGTTAGAATCAACAGCTTCTTTGTTCGGAGGTAGAGGCTTGAAGAGTGCATAATCCAGTGGAATGACACCATTTGATTGCATGTAGTCATAATAAGGATAAATGTTGAGCAGGAAATATGAGCCTGTAGACTGCAAGAAATTAAGCATGGGAACCAAAACTGGATTCCACGAGCGATTGAAGAAGGCCTGGGAAGGTGGGAAAGAATCAAGGATTATAGAGGAAGAAAGGGGTGTTGAAACTTTGATCTGGTGGTCTAAATTGGATGCCACAAGAGCAGAGTGAATGAACTTCATGGCATTGACAAGCACTGATGCTGCATTTGGTAGCGTGGTCAAGACCTCAGAACCAACACAAACCGCAGTAATGTTGGTGGCCGGATAATGTTCTACAATATTCTTTGAGACCCAATTGGCTGCAGTTGAATTTGACTGTCCAATTCCAAGCAGCTGTTCATTGGGGACAGAGATCATGACCTGAATCCCAGTCTTAGCAAGAGCAACTAGCATGGCTTGGTCAGCATTATATAGCCTGACATACCGGATATTCTGGCCTTTAAGAAGAGCAACTACTTGAGTTGGGTGAGGCATGTTTGATAGGTCTGTTCCTATATTGACACCAATATATGCACCTGAAAGAATTGAAAAAAAGTCAGAATATAGTACTGTTCAAACACCAATTTCCATTCAGTACTAATGGATGCACCATAAGGGAATACAATTTACAGGATCACCACATCATGAAACTGGAAACAGTAAATTCCTAAATCCCTGACATAAACAGAAAGCTAAGTGTAAAAGTCTTTGACTTTAACAACTAACCCATAATGACCATTCTTAAAATGTACAGTGCTGTTATTCAAAATTTCCAAGGAAAATATTATCGTATTACATCATGGTAGCAGAATGACCCTCCTTAAAATATACAAATAAATAAATATTATAAGTATGTGTGGAGACTGGAGTGTTCCCATATCCCACCAAGTTCTAATACCGAAGTGTCCAAAAGTGCCTAAATTTTCTAAATTTTTACTTTTTACCCTAATCAAGGCAAAGGGTGCATCTTATCTTGTAGAGAAAAGGATAGTTAAATGTAATGAAAGGACCTCCAGCTGGAAGACAACACATATTCTTCGTCTTCTTCATTTTTCTTTATTTTCCTCCAACTATATATTTATATATAGGTAAGGGACAAAAATTCTTCAAATCTCCTGGTTTGAATTAGCAGTTAAGGACCTCCAGGCCCTCCACATTGAATATGACAGTAATTGAAAAAAAAGTATAAATATATACAATAAATGAGGCTCCTTATTCCTTTCTGTGCTAGAGGGTTATAGATTTCTTGATAAAGTGATAAACATTAGGACAGTTATGTCTTTTGAGTCTTTGACCCCCAACTACCCTTCTGTCGTCCTTTATTGTGCTATTCAATATCTGACCTACTAAAGCTACAATGAAAGGCAATTTTAAAAAAAAAAAAATCCCAGATAAACATTCACTCTGAGAAGGAAAGAGAGTTAATTTTTTGGAGGAAGGAAGAAAACTGACTGTTGAAAAAGAATACATTTTGCACAATGCATAGTGCATGCAGACATGTGAAACCTCATAAGAAGAAGATTTGGAGAATGAAATCAGAGTCTTGGCACCAACAATCCAATATTCCCTTTTGCATAAAATCTTCAAAACACAACATGCAAGAAGAAGGAAAAGCTTACCTTCATCAGCTGTGACTCCAGAAATTGCTAAAAGGAGCAGAAGAAAAAGCACTGCCATGGACTTAAATCTCCCCTAAACAGCCCTAAATGGTTTTGATATAAGGCCTATAAAATATCAGAGAATGTGAAAATGGGAACAAAGAGAAAAACAAGTTGCGCAGAGGAGGTGGAAGAAAATACAGAGAAGCTATGACTTACAAGTGAGAAAATGCTAACAAATAAAACACAAAAAGGGGGAGAGAAGAAGAGGTGGGGTAGACATAAATATAGCGGTAGTGAGATAATCAGGGAATCAACGGCTAAGATATCTTCTACATTTGCAGCGCTCCAATAATGGATTGGTTTGGTTATTAAATTTCAAACGAAATTTCTTATTAAATACCAACACAAATTAAAAAGTATAATAAATATGTTTTTTAATTATTAAATTACATGAAAATTAAAAAAAAATATTAATTATATGTATTAATTTAATTAATTATTAAAATTAAAATTAAACTTTATTTTTTATATAAATTATATAAATTAATAATTAAAATATATATTAAATAAATATTTAGCTTATGCTTAAAATACATATTAAAAAAACTTTTTTTTTTATCAAGGGTAATTTTTGAGGTAGCGGAAATTGAACCCAACCCATGAACTGAATGATACACACCATTATCAAGCGACTTATAATGTCAAATGTGTTAAAAGAAAAAACTTAATTTTAAATTAAAGAAATCCAAGGCAACTTTTCCTTTTTTTTCTTTGTTTTTCTGTTTGGGGGCTGTTTGGGTTTAGCCGTTGGAGGATTTTAACATGGGATGTGGAAACTTTTGATTTGGATTTGGATTTTTATGTGTTGTTAAGAAAGCAGTAAGGCAGTGGGGTCCGGTTGTCTGGAAACAAACAGGGGACAGGCTACGGTCGGGGCACCGAGAAAGCCACAGTTGGACTCAACGGTTACATTTTGCACTAGTAGTACAGTACTCTCCTTGTTATTTTATTACTATGCTTTTACTGTATTTTTATAATTAAAATAATTTTATATTTTTTAAAAATAAAATTACTTAGCAAGATTAATGTAAAAAAAAACTTTAATTATTATTTATATATAGTTTAAAATATTATCTAAGCATATATGTACAGTTAAATTAATACAATTATTAAAAAAACGAGAGAGTACTTTTTTATGGTTTAGATCCTTACAGTTGTAAAATTTATAGTTTTAACTATAAGATTGAGAACTCTAATAATAGTTTTAAGGGAGAAGAGGAGAGTAGTGAAAATTTATTTATTTTTAGTTAGTAAAAAATTAAGAGGGAAAGGAGTCCGTTGCCTTATGTTTTCAAATGAGGGGAGGAAAAAAAATAAAGAAAAATTTTCTATTTAATAAATTAAATTAATAATCATTTTTAAAAAAAATCAAGTATAGTGATGAAAAAGTGTTTTATAGTTTAAATTGTTTCAAGTTATAAAACACTAACTATTTGATGAAAAGAGGGTCTCCTAATATTGAAGACCTTTCTTCAATAAGATAGTTTTATTTTACCGTATAAAATAGTATAGATTATATATATAAAAAAAAAACCCATATAATAAAACCTTGCCTATTAGAGAATTCAAGATTTCAAATTGTAAATTTAATAAATTGAAAATATTTAGAGCATGTTTGGGTTAACTTGTAAGAATTTTTTTTTTTGTACTGTTTATGAGTGATAAGTTTAGATTTTTATTAGAAGAAAAATTAAAAGTTACTTTTAGAGATAAGAAAAAATGAGTAAAAAAGAAATTTATAAAAAGTTTAGATTTAAAACTTTTGAATTTTTATTATTTTAGGTTTTTTTAAGGTTAAAAAAATTTAAAAATATAAATTTTTACGAAAAAAATTTAAATTTATAAAATATAAATAATATAAAAAAACTGAAGCAAACATGCTCTTAATATCAAATAGTCACCTGTCGCGCATTCCACGTGCTGTGGTCTAATGGTCATTTGCTGTCTCAAATGACAGCTTGTGGTTTGCACTCTCATGTCTCAGGTTCAATATCCCCACTAACATCTCTAACATACTAACCTTTAACTATTGCCTTTATAAAAAAAAAAAAAAATAGTTACCTATCACGTGAAAATTTCTAATGGTCACTTGCTGTCTCAAATGACAGCACGTGGTTTGCACTCTCATGTCTCAGGTTCAATATCCCACTAACATATCTAACATACTAACCTTTAACTATTGCCCTTATATAAAAAAAAAAAAAAAAATCGCCTGTCACGTGAAAATTTCTGTGTTTTGTGAAGAATAATAATAAAAAAAAAGGCATGAGAAGAAAAACCTGAAAATGCAGCAGTTGCCCTATTCTAAGCCCAAGCCCAGTTGATTAAGAGTCAACCACAAGTCCAGGTATCCACCAAGCCCAACATTCAGGGAATTGCAAAATATTCATGATAATTGATATTCTTATTCCATGAGACTTGAACCCAATCATAACAATATGTTTGCAAGGGGAAGGGAATGGAAGAAATTTTCTCTATTTAATTACTAAAAGAATTGAAGGAGAGGGAAGGAAAGTTTTTTTATTTTTTATTTTTTTATAATTTATTTATTTATCCAAATGAAAGAAAGGGACGCCAACTCTTACTTTGCTCCAACTCTGATGATTAGCTACCATGGCATCCACCAAAGAGAAGAAGCTCAAACGCAAAAGGTAAACATTTAACACTCTATGTTATTTCCCTCTAAGAAATATAGAGCCCTTTTATGATCACAGATTGAAATTGTGATGCTGCACAAACTTTAGAAAAGAAGACAACTTTTACACTTTTATATTGGTTAAAGGAACAATGGAAAATCATGATAATTTGTTAATTAAAATGTTAGATATAATAATAAAAAGAATTAAATATTTTTAATGAATTAATGACGTCTTAATTTTTACTTTTTTTCATTAGTTCAATAAGAGAGAATATGAATTTTCACGTTAGATCTATAGGAAAAAATACAAAAATACATATAAAAAAACATAAATACTATTAATAAATCAACACACATTTAAATAATTTTACAAATATTCCTACATTTTTTTTCTTCATGTCAATCTAAAATACATTTCTAGTTAAATAATATCTCTTTTTTAAATTGTAATAGTTGCCAAAGCCCAAAATTAAAAGCTCACAAAAAAGACACCAACCATAAATAAACCCTCAACTTAAGAAAGAAAAAAAAGATAGTTAAAAAGGCCCAGTTATAGAAAAATTTGCGAATTGGGCGGGCTTGGGCTGAACTTCATTTTCACTCTTCATGCGTTTCTTTCCCTGCATAATTTATCCAAAGAAAGAATTGTGTTTATGCGTGGATTAAGATTGAACAATGATGATAATAATTCAGCTAATCATTCAGCTACAATATTGTTGTATAATGTGTTAACGACGT